AAAGGGGGAGGGGGGAGGGGGGGCAGCCGCCAGCTGGTGTGTATATATAAGGCGGCAACACAGCTTTTGGGTACCATTCTCTCCTAGAACTTGAAGCTGCTTAAACAGCATAAGAGATGTTTATGAAGGTAATGTGAAGTGCAGGTTCAGAATTACATAGCCTGTGTAAGTGAAGTTTATCTAATTGTGTACTTATAAGATGCATCTGTGACACATTTACTGAACAAGAAACGCCTCTTCCAGGTGGCGTTTGTGTCGATTGTGGGAATGGCCCTTGCCTTCCCATCTGATCCATATTCTCATCAGCCTGTGTACAAGGATGTAAGTCCAGTCTAAGATATGCTAGTCTCTATATCCTTTTCAGATCTAGTGCAAAACTTTTATATCGTACTTTAACTGACTTTCAACAGAATCCTAGATGTAATGAATAAATTGAGAAGCTTTGTACACACTGGACCTGAGTTTCTCTTTCTCTGATCAGGATCCCATCCCCTACAACTTCGCTTACGGAGTGAAGGATGAGTATGCTGGCACTGACTTCGGCCACAGCGAAAACTCCGACGGCAAGGCTGTCAAGGGATCCTACACCGTCCAGCTTCCTGATGGTCGCAAGCAGACGGTGAGAAGGCGAACTGTATTCATTCATTCCAAAATACCCCCCCCCCCCTTCTTTTAATTAAATCACACTTTCCCTTCACACATGAGGAACAAACCGTGTTCCTAACCTCATCACTGTCTTGCAGGTGAACTACGTGGCCGACCACTACAACGGCTACCAGGCTGAGGTCACCTACTACGGCGAGGCTCAGTACCCCCACCAGTACGGTCCCCCCGTCACCTTCAAGCCCCAGGCCTACCATCCCCAGCCTTCCTACCAACCTCAGCCTACATACCATTAATTGCCTCCTTTTATTTCTTTTTGTTGAAATAGTTTCTAGTCAATGTTTTCCGTTGTGAAAGATTAAAATGCCCCAAGGTAATAAGCTGGCTATTATCCTTCGATGCATTCCATACCTTGCGTAAAAATCTGCAGCACAAAAATGCTCTCAACGAAAAGAATAAATAAATAACAAATAATCAAGAATCGGAGAAATCACTATCAGATGTAATACAGAGGAAAACGAAAAAAAGTCCAAATGCATTTTCTATGCCAAGTAACATAAATAACAATCAATATTACTTCTAACCAAACTGGCAAAAACTGTTTGATAAAATAACTAATTGGTTATTCATAAACATAAATATACATGCTCCTTATTTAGTGCAAAGTTTACATTTTTCAATTAAAAAGAACTGATAACAAGGAAAGAACAAAATGAATACTAACAAAGACACTTGGACAACACACATACAAAAACACACACTCACACATACACATATATAATATTATATACATACATACATACATATATATATATATATATATATATATATATATATATATATATATATATATATATACATATACTGAATGTATATATATATACATACATACATACATACATATATATATATATATATATATATATATATATATATATATATATATATATATATATATATATATACATGTATATATATATAAATATATAAATACACACACATACATACATATACATACACATATGTACACACACATATATAAAGATATCGATACAGATATACATATGCATACTTATATACATATAGATAAAGTATTTCCCAGCAAATTTTAATAGCATTTCATTGCATCTCTGTTATTTTTGATAAAAGTATCTGATATTTACTTTACACCATTTATTTTTTTCTCTCTCTATTAACATAAATAAAAAATAGAAATATTTTACACCAACAATCGTAACTCATACCTGGATAAATCTGAAAGAGAAAAATATAATAGTTTTCTCCTAAAACACGCAATTTACTTATCATATGAACATTTACCTGATTTATATAAACTCTCCCAAAAAATAAAATGGCCCATAACCTTCAACATTTCGTTTTCATTTTAAACATATGCCGGTCATTACACCTGGCTTCATGATATGTTTAGACTGCCATTCATCCAATTCAACATGAAGGATATTACAAACCTTTTCCGACAGATTCTAAGCTTCGGTATACATTATTTTGCCTTTATTTTTCAAACATGGTACTTTTAGAAATGACTTTAAATCAAAACATGACTTCAGCATTGCTTTAAAACCTAGGGAAATGATAAAGGACTACCGACTAATCACTTAAGTGCATTCAGTTTGTGTGCACTGTATATATGTAAATGTATATGTACACGTATATGTTTATATATATGTATGTATGTATATGTGTTTATGATTAAGTGTGTGTGTATATATATATATATATATATATATATATATATATATATATATATATATATATATATATATATATATATATATATATGTATATATATATGTATATATATATATGTATATATATATGTATATATATATATGTATATATATATATATGTATATATATATATGTATATATATATATGTATATATATATATATATATATATATATATATATATATATATATATATATATATATGTGTGTGTGTGTGTGTGTGTGTGTGTGTGTGTGTGTGTGTGTGTGTGTGTGTGTGTGTGTGTTTCTCCTTGAGAGGGGGGTGCGTGTGTGTATTTATAGAGTACTTATACATAAATGCATATATATACATACACAAAGAAACATGACTGATGCACATACGTGCGTGCGTGTTGTTTCTTTTTTCTTTTCTTTTCTATTTTAAGAAAAATCTAAGAAAAACTTTTACTCTCTTCTCTCAACCATATGCCACAAGTACCCTCCGGCTTGGTACTATTAGTCTGTGACGTAACATAAATCAATGGATCGGGAGAGAGCAAGAAGGGAGGAGCTGAACGCCACCATTTGGTCTGTATATAAGACAGCAACTTGTGGTCTCGGGATAGCAGTCTCTCTTCGTCGTCTGGACAAGCAGACATTTCTATAAACATGTTTTTCAAGGTAATTATCAAATTCAAGGGTAATTCTTAAGTCTATGATCTATGATAAAGACTGTGATTGAACATTTTAAAATAAATGTGTATATCACCAAGTGGACATGGATATATGATAGTGATCAGCTGTATGTGTCGTGTATTCTTCTACAATTGTAGTAGGGAAAGATTTATACATAAATGATACAATTTCCAGGTGGCTCTTATGGTAGCGATGGCGGGCGCGACTTTGGCCTTTCCCTCCGATCCTTATGGTCCTCCACACCCAGTATATAAGGATGTGAGTCCAATATCAAAATATTTCTAAAAAAAAAAAAAAGTCTTCATCACGAGTTCAAATACTAACACTAATTTAAGAAAACAATAAACAACTTTCAACATTCTCTCTGCAGGAACCCATGCCATATAATTATGCCTATGCAGTTAACGACCATTATGCAGGAACTGACTTTGGTCACAATGAAAACTCTGACGGTAATATTGTCAAGGGATCCTACACCGTCCAGCTTCCCGACGGCCGCAAACAGACGGTGAGAAGAAAAACCTTGCTCTTGTGTATCTGTCTATATCTACATTTTCCACCTACCCACACACTTGTAACAAAACAGATAAACTAACACGCGTGTCTATCCTGCAGGTGAGCTACGTAGCCGACCACTACAACGGCTACCAGGCTGACGTCAGCTACTACGGCGAGGCTCAGTACCCCCGCGAGTACGGTCCCCCTATCACTTTCCCGCCCCAGCATCCCTACAAGCCTCAGCCTTCTTACCACTGATTGTTGTTGATTGTTGCACTTGTTCCTAGTCACTGTTTTGTCCCTGAATATTAATAAGATGTTTTCATGTTCACAATGAAGTATGTTTTGTTTTCCTTACGATTTTTATTTAATGCTAAACATAATTTCGAAAGACATTAACAATCCTAAGAAACTGGGATAAAATATAATAAGGCACCGAACCAAAAAGAAGCTAGAGAGAACTCAGAGAGCCAAGAGTCTACCAGAAGCAAACAAAGGCAAGAATGGCATTGATAAAAAACGATAATGTACAAAAATATGTATGCGTTTATATGTATGTGTATACAGTGTGTGTGTGTGTGTGTGTGTGTGTGTGTGTGTGTGTGTGTGTGTGTGTGTGTGTGTGTGTGTGTGTGTGTGTGTGTGTGTGTGTGTGCGTGTGTGTGTGTTTGTGCGTATATATACACATATATGTATATATATAAATATACATATATATGTATATACATGTAATATGTATATATATATATATATATATATATATATATATATATATATATATATATATATATATATATATATATATATATATAGATATGTAGATGTATATATGTATATAGTAATTTATAATATATATACATAGATATATACACATGTATGTATGTATGCATATGTGTATGTATATGTATATATCAGCTGAAATAAATTTGAATGACGGCTTAAGAAACAAAAATATTTCTAATGGCGTTTAATTAACGCAAGAGACTTATTATGAAACTTATTAAAACAGTGAACTAAATATGTTTTCATAACAAAATACTGTGGATTGTTCAGTGGTATGATGCATACTTAATGATTTCTTTTCTTAAATATGTTATCTGTTTAAGATTTGCGTCTGCATTATATATGATTATATACATATGCATAAATGTATGAACATTCTAAAAGGATATGAAGAAAGCCCACGTATATATTATTTTTTTCTTTTATAATGCTGTTTAAAGCATGCCTTCTTCCTAATATTTTGTGATAATAAGTAAACTAGCTGGTCACAATTTGTGTTCCAATTCATGTAGCTGACACTTTGATTTCACTTCATGTCATGATTATCACATATTAGTTTATATATTTTTCTCTTCTTCTCCCATTGGCTCTGGGTGCTAGTAGCGGTATGAACATCAATGAAGTATACATCATCTTACATGTCTACTGTGTACTTCCGGCATTTAATAGGACAATACGTTTTATGTTATTTGCAAGACGAATACATACATACATAATATATATATATATATATATATATATATATATATATATATATATATATATATATATATATATATATATATTATATATATATATATATATATATATATATATATAATATATATAATATATAATATATAATATATAATATATATAATATATATAATATATATAATATATATAATATATATTGTAATATTGCAATATATATATTACATATTACAATACTTATTCATAATACATATATCTGAGAATCAGGTGTCAGGAGAAGAGAGAGGAGCAGCAGCCACAACACCATCATTGTGAATATATAAGCCGGTGACGTCTGCCTCGGGACAACCTTCTCTTTCATTGAAACCAGCTGTAAGCTTCTTGTCCACTACCATGTACTTGAAGGTAACTAAAAAAAAGTGAAAATTACAACGTGAATATCACAGGTTTATAAGTCTGCGCTTAAATGCATGTGTTGGAAAAGGAATGAGTGTTTGTTATACAGTAAACTATTGCCACTGTATGCTTTATGGTATGCAGTGTAGTCACTTGCATTAAATAAGCTGAAATGGTGAGTTTTACTGATGAATACGCTTCCCAGGTGACTTTAGTGGCAACACTGGTGACCGTGACACTGGCCTTCCGATCAGATCTTTACAGTCGCCCACAACCAGTTTACAAAGACCTGCGTCTAACTTCAAATCCTTCTGACCAATATTCTAACATGATTAAAATTTCATACTTCTATGTGGAATAACTTATGCATTCTTTTACAGGAACCCATACCAGACAGTTATGCCTATGCAGTCAACGACCAATATACAGGCACTGACTTTGGCCATAGTGAAGACTCTGACGGCCGAGTGGTCAAGGGATCTTACAATGTCCAGCTTCCTGACGGCCGCAAACAGACGGTGTGATGAAAAACTAATCTTTCTTAGTTGATATTTCAAACTTTTTTTCAGATGTATATATAATAAAGTATTGTCCTCTTTCTGAATACATTGGATATATATTGGCTACAAAACGGCAAATACTTTAAAGATACAATTACTTTTCGCAGGTGAATTACATAGCAGACCACTACAATGGCTACCAGGCCGACGTCCGCTACCACGGCGAGGCTCAGTTCCCCCGTCAGTATGGCTCCGCCGCCACCTACAGGCCACAGCCATACCACCCCCAGCCTTCCTACAGACCTCGGCCTTCTTATCAATAGGTATTTTCTAATAATCTCATTTCACTGTAATTGCATGTAAATAAAATGTGTGTGTGTATATATATATATATATATATATATATATATATATATATATATATATATATATATATATATATACATATACATACAAACATATATATATATATATATATATATATATATATTATATATATTATATATATATATATATACATATATATATATATATATATATATATATATATATATATATATATATATAAATATAACATTAATACATTCATACATACATACACACACACTCACTCACGCAGACATAAATAAATTATATATACATTATATATATATATATAGATATGCACATATACATTATACATTTATATATATACACATAACATTATATATATGCACACACATACATTATATATATATATATATATATATATATATATATATATATATATATATATATATATATAATTCCGACACTAACTTTTGTTTGTGGCCATGTAAAAAAAAGAAAAATGAATAACCAAATAAATATATTAACAAAATACTCGACATAGATGCAACCACAAACATCACCACAGTGGTGGCGGCAACAGTACGCGTTACGCCCACTATTAAGAAAATAATGTTCTCTCTCATCAGGAACGAGTGCCATATAATTATGGTTATGCAGCCACACACGTCTTTCACAGCGAAGTCTCCGTCGGCAATAAGGCATTCTTCTTCAATGTCCAACCTCCTAATGATCGGTGGGAAGACATGGCTGTTTCATCCACTGGGGAAGGAAACAGCTTTTCTGGTACCTCCCCCCCCCCCCCTGAAGATGAAGTATGTCGCGGGTTCCTACAATGGCTGCCACACCGACGTCAGTTATAGCGGCGAGGCTCAGTTCCCCACGAATATGGCCCGACCATCATCTTCGTCTTCCTATCGTTAGCGGTTTTCTTGTTATTGTTAATCTCAACCATGTTCTCAAATATGATCCTTTTTTGCACAAATTCACGCTTTTGTGTTCCTCTGTAAATCAATAACTTTAAACATATTACCTTCTTAAACAGATACCATCAACGTAAGAGCTGCGTGTTTATCCATTAAGGTTTTGAATTATAGCACCCGCAAAAAAACAGAAATGGCAAATGTATTATTTTGCGAAGATGCCTCTTACTGTGATGATTGCAGCACGGTGAGAATTTGGGTTGAATTGGTAGTAATAGCGTCCGTGGCTCAGGCTGGCTGCCATCCCTCGTGATTTTGGTTTCCTGTTGAGAGCCTTATCTCTTGTTTTTTCCGCGATGGTTTACTGTGCAT